ATAAATATATGAATTGCGCTTCCGTTTGATGTTTACATCAAAACCTTTAAAATAAGGTGTATATAAAGAGCATTTACCGAAAGAAAGTGCTTTTAATCTTAGTTCTTAAGAAGATTGTCCTGCGGATCGCATGTACAAATGCCTCAAAACAGCAAACCACATTGTCGAGCATAAAGAAAGTCCGGAAGATACCCTTGATATTGGTATTCCTAAGATTAATAAAGAAAAATTTTCATAAAAGGTTACCTCTTTAAAAAGTGCTTTGGTTAGATATTCGGCTGACGAACTTCTGGGTATATCAACTTTTTCCAAGGTAATGTCACAATGTAATTGGAGAATTTTGACAGTTTCTATAATTTACCTGAAGATATACGATTCCATTTGACTGGAGATGAAAGAACTTACATTTTTCTGTATAATGAATTATTTTCGCGTAAGCGGATTAATTTCACGATCCGTTATAAGCTTTTGAATGCAAAAAACAGACCACATATTTGGCCATTTTTTGAAATATTTATTATGCTTCTCTCTGTTCTGTTTCTAAATAACGCACAAGCGGAACGTATGGTTTACAAAAAGTATATTCCTACACAACTTACATCCAAGAAGGCCTTCTTTGCATTAACTTCGCGGTAATATATGCGAACGTTTTGCTTAAATGCTAAGTTCAGCGGTTCGGTTTAAGCAAAATGCGATGAAACTTTTTTGCTACTGCATTTTGTGTGACAGAAGTACACAGGTTAGCTAAACATAATTTTTTAAACATAAATCTCAAATGTTTCTACAAATAATTGCGATTCTTTCAACTTGGCTCCACTGGAATATGAACAATTTTGGACAATATACTCCAGTTCTGGAAGAAACATCTTCTATACCTATTTTGCTTATTTTGGAGTTCCTCCATGGTATAGTCAACATTAGTAAACAGTTTGGTTCTGTCTTTCGTAATAGCATAGGAACTTCCTTCGATGTGAGACTACTCCCAATTTAGCCAAAATTAGTGGCCATTTCTTTTAATTAACCAAACTCAAATGGTGATTTCCCTTACCAAAAGGCTTTCGCAGAATTAAATCAACTCAGTGAATCAAAATAGTGTTGCCAAATACATGCTAAAGTACCAACTCAAGTTTAATCATGAAATTTGCACGGTCTTTGGCGACTACTGTATATATTAAAACATATTTTCAAGAAAATATGCATAACAAGTGTCTTTTCTTGTAGTGAATTGGACCTTGTTCAAATTCTATATTTTAAGGAAACACATTCTTCAGCTTTAGAAAATTCTAAGTATGACACTTTCAGAGTCGTAAAATTTTCATTTCTAATGCATCTCATCCATAAATTTATTTGTGCTGCCTATAAAGCATACAGAATTATGCACAGGTACTGGAAAATCTTCTGAGCATAGTTTGACCTCTTCCTCTTAGCTATTACAAGCGCGTGATTTTCGTCAGAGAGAATGTATGCACCATGCAGGCTGGTAATCTTGAATGAAACTGTAACGGTCGACAGGATTTAAACTTGTTCTGCAGTTAAGAAAGCTTTTTCAAACCAAAGGATACAATAACGCAGAGTATAAAAGTGGAAGCAACCGCAATTTGCTACCAAACGAATACAAGAAACAAAATATGTGTCCATGCTTTCTGTAAATATGTTTGAAGTTATACGAGAAAATGCATGCTATTTAAGCAGCCATTTTGACAGAGTACAATTTTTTGCAGGTCGTTCAAAAGCCGGCATCCTAACATGACTAAAATATTTTTAGATCAGGCAGCACAATAATCAACATGACAACTCCAAGTTAATAAATTTCTTCGAAACTCTAAAACAAATCTTAGAATGCGTGTTGGCCTTTGACCAACTGATTGTGATTAACTAGACCTCCTACTGTACCAAACAGCCGTTTAAATTGCCGCTAATCGAGGTATATGCGATCGCAGGTTATTGTGGCGAGCAGCAGACACCGTAGGCATCACATGCAAAAAAGTTACCGCCTCATCTTTTGTATCAAAATGGCATCAATTACAGTGTTTAAAGTACAAAAAGTTGACAAAGCGGTAGCGTGGGAGGCAAATATCGTACATACGTTG